GGTCTCCTACTCCTCCGCCATCTTGCTCCGCCCCTAAAACTAGGTTTTTTTTTTAATGTGTATCAAATGCATAATGGGAGAAATAAGTCAGGTAGTTATTCACATTCTAGTATAAATAGCTTTACAGTGGTTTCTTCTTTCTAGAAAGGGAGGGATTTTTTTTTTAAAGGTTGTATTTATTTGAGAGGGAATGAGAGAGCGTAAGCAGGGGGGAGGAGCAGAGGGAAAGGGAGAGGCCGACTCCCCGCTGAGCAGGGAGCCTCGTGTGGGGCTTGATCCCAGGACCCTGGGATCATGACCTGAGCTAAAGGCAGACACTCAGTAGGTTAGACTGAGCCACCCAGGCATCCCGAAGGGGAGTTTTTATTTGGATTTGTTGGAAGGAGTGCATGATCATTGTGTAATGGATTCTTCCTGGAAGAACTGTGGGATAGATGGGGAAAGAATGAGTTGAAATTGTTAGCACTGAAGATATTCTTGGTTTCCTTATATTTTTTTTTCCCAAAGAAAGTGTCATATTGTTGCCATTTCCAAAGAATTCCTTTTGACAAGTTTAGAAACCAGTGAGTCTGCTACAATTTTCCCACCCTATGGTTCACTGAGGTTCTTAGCATCTGCCAGATATTATGCTAAGCACACTATATACACAGTCTTTATTTTGTAGGCTCCTCGCCCAACTTGGGGCTTGCCTTTACCACCTGAGATGAAGAGTCACATGCTCTCCTGACTGAACCAGCCAGGCACCCCCCGTGTACAGTCTTATTTAATCTCCACTCTAGCATTATGAGGTATACACTACTTAACAGGTTCTATATGGTGCTTATTCTGCACTGTGGTAAGCATTTTAGACATTTTAACTCAACCTTCACCACAGTCCGCTGGTATAGATACTATTATTTCCCCATTTTACCGGTACAGAAACTGAGATACAAAGAGATGAGCTGACTTGGCCGAGATCCCACAGCTAGTAAATTGGGAAGAGCTATGATTTATGTTCAGGCATTCCAGCTCCAGAGACAACACTCTTAACCACTGTTGTGTGCGATATTATCTTTATCGGTGAGGAAATAGAAGGACAGAGAATAAAAACTCTCCCAACATCACCTGGGCAATAAATAATGGAGAGAGGGGGACTCAGATTCAGGCAGCCCATAAAACTGCGTAACCTATAAGCCTCACCCCTTCTGCCATCCTGCACATCTTCTCTGCTTTGATCATTCAGTCTTAAAGCCATTTCAATACAGATGTCACTGTGGCACTTAAGAAAAGTAATGATAAGAATAGAAAGGGAAGAAATTAGCTTTATCATTTATTCAGTTTACTGCCTAGCTTAATTTTGAATAGATTTTGGATTGCGGTTTGTCATGAAAGGGTTGAACCTTCACTGAATTGCCAGCGTCAAAGACGACCTTGACTTCATCTAGCGCAGTGATTCTTAATCTTTAATGAGCCATATGAAGTTCTTGCTAAAATGCAGATTTTGATTCAATAGGTCTAGGATGTGATGCTGATGCTCCTGGGATATGATCTATGCTTTGAGTCACAAGGCTAACACAGTGTTTTCAAACTGAGCATAAAGATGTATCTCAGGGCCCAGAGTTCACATTGGAAGGAGGGAATTTTCATAGATGGAAGAACATGTACAGTTTGGGATGATCAACACCAGGCGGGGAGGGGGGCGGGAGGTGGCTCATGAGATAAGACCTGAGCTACCTGACTCCCAGGATTGGAAGGGACATTAAGGGTCACCTGCTCCAAACATCCAACTTGACGTTTGAATCCTCTAATATCCCTGCCAGGTCATTTCACTCCCAGAGTTAAGGAATTTTCTGTCCTGAGTGGCACTAAGAGAATTTTAAGATGGTGCCTGAGTCACAGAAACAGTCCAGATGAAGGGCTCTGATATCAGTCTCCTACCTCTCCAGACAGACATTTGCCTCCATAATACATTTTCAGAGCCTTTGGATATTTCTTCAAAAGCTTTCAAACCTTACCATTTCCTGATAAAAACAATGTACTCTACCAGAGAACCATCTGGGAGTGCTTATTTCCCCAGGCATCTGCATTCCACTCTGAAACAGTGATTTCAGTGCTGACTGGCAGGTGAGAAGCAGTGACAGATGTCTGGCAGCTGGGCTCCTTCTTGGCTGTACTGATGATCCGCGCCAGGGCCCTTGAGAAAACATATTTTCCAGAATCAAGAATCCTGCGACCATGAATGGTTTCTTCTCATTTTGATTTCACGACCTGAACCCAAGGCTCTTATGGTTGGGTCTTCTGACTGGGAGGGGAAGCCAGCTACTCCTCTCGTCTCTCCTCCTTCAGGCTGTGACTTGACAGCACCCTGCTTTCTGTTCCAGGTGCCCGGGGAGAGCGAGAAGCAGTGGAAGCCGGCACTGGTCGTACTGACCGAGAAGGACCTTTTAATCTATGACAGCATGCCGCGGAGGAAGGAAGCCTGGTTCAGCCCAGTTCACACGTACCCTCTTCTTGCCACCAGGTAGCCTTGGCCTTGTGTTTGAGTCTGATGTATTTGCAGTTTGAGACTGTTCTGGTCAATTACAAGTATCTCAGCACATTATATTCCTGCTTCCTGTTGCGTCAGGAACTGAGAGCTCCCCCAGAATATAGCCACACATTTCTATCCAGATAGGTGAATTTTCATTGACGGCCCAGCATGGGCAACACGGACACAAAGAACAAACTGCTTCTTAGTCGTGAAGGAACAGTGACATCTGGGAGATGGTCCGTGCCCCGTCACCTTCCCGGGTCTCCACCCCAGTTCCTTTGAGAGGAACTATGTCCATGCATTTACAGTCTTGAAATTCCGGTAGAATCCTCAAGCAAGGGCCTTCACTTGTAGCACAGGGATTGTCGTATGGGAATGTGCTGTTACTGTGCTTTTTACAGTTTGCTCGGCGCGAGACCCCATAGCAAGTTCTTCCTCGGTTGTTGGTGCTTCCTGTGGAAATGGGACTGCCAGGGTCTGTTTCTTAGGACCTTCAGTGCATGTTTATTGTTCATGTGACATATTATCTTAATGCATCATGTGCTTATCCTCTTTTTGAAGGTCTTTATTCTGAGCACAAAAGCGCATCAAACCTGAGTCTTGATCCAAGTAGTTGACAGCTCCCAGACTTGGCTCCTGTTGCCATCTCTTTCTGTATGTGCTTTATGATTATGGACACAGTTTTCATTACTCCTGTACCTCTTCCTTACCTAGAAGGTAGGCATACTAACGTAATGTTTATGGCCTCCCTGGCATTGTGCTTGGCGGTATGGGTCCCTAAAATGTCTGTGAATGAATTACTGACCAGTGTGGGACAAACTCTGGAAGGAGTTTCGTCCAACAGACAGAAAGCATAGAGGACTGAGGTTTTGGGGCTTCTGTCCCGAGCAAGAGATAGATAGAAACAAGATGGGTTCTCCATTCTGAAGGGACTGAGGTGTCAAATAGGTTATAGTCAAGGCTTGGGTGCAGGGAAGAGAATGAGACTCAGGAGCAGAACAAGAGGAGACACGAGATTAAAATGGTAATGGTGTGTGGAGCTGAAACTCCTTGCAAAGCCCTCTTACGTCCACGTATGGTGATTATGGAGAACAGCAAGGGTGACCTGAGGAAGTGATTATTGGCCCCAGAGGTGAATAGAGGAGGAGGCCTTCAGGGTCAGGGACCACACCTAGATCACTTAGATACAAATAAAATAACAAAACAGTAATTTAATTTTTGAGTATCCTAAGCCTTAAAATCTTTGGCAGGATAGCTATGAAAGCACTCCCGATGTTTGTAATAAAATCTCAATAATCAGAATCCAAACATCCTAAAATGTTCCTGTGGAGCTTCAGGCTGTGTCTTGGGGTCCATTCAAATTCATCCCAACCTCCATCACGTTCCACAGCCCTCACCCACGGGCACTGATGTGCACATTCTGAGACATTCTCACAACTGGAACCAAAGAAGGATTAGACCATAGTCACGGTCTTCCAGGGTACTAAGAAGAGAAATTGGACTCATTCCTCTTAGACTGATTTTCGGGAAGAAAAGTCTATGTAAGGTAAAGTTTCTAGGTAACTCTCAGGCAACCTGAAAATAAAACCCTCATGCATAGCCTACTTGGAGTTTCTGAGCATTCTGACATTGAGGCTGCCTTTTTATTCATGCATGCATGCATTCAGGATTTTAAAAAACTCAGCGCCTCAGTCTACACTAGCCACATTTCAGATACTCAGTAGTTGTGAGTAGTGGCTACTATGTTGGACAGCACAGATCTTAGAACATGTCCATCATTACAGAAAGTTCTGTAGGACAGCACCACCCTAGAGCATAAATGACTAGCTCCGAATCTGTCCTGATTCGGGCAAGTGACTGGACTGACACGCTCCAGTGGCAGTGTGTCCAGAGCTCAGGCTGCCTGACGGGAGGTCGTCTTGCAGGCTCTTGTGGCCGTCTACACATCAGGCCGTCCGTGGCTTCAGTGGCGCCGGGGGAAGGGTGCACAGGCGCAGCAAATGGCATCTGAGTAGGCTTGGGTGGGGCACCAACAGTAACTGTGAAAGGCTCAGGAGCCACAGGCGTGCCAGGTCTGGGCTGTGAGCAAAGCACACGAGTAGCCCGAAGCCACAAGCCAGCGTCCGCTATGGAAATAAATAATGGAAACCCTTTCAGTGCGAACTGTGCTCATTTCGAACAAGATGCATCCTAAGAATTCGGCGCCTACCTTCTACACCTAGAGGAGATGCAGTGGTGATACCTGACCTCCCAGTTTACTGCCTCTTTCCCAAATCACCCAGCCTCACCACTGAACTGCAAAATCAAAACGTGCTGTGTGTGTGTGTGTGTGTGTGTGTGAGAGAGAGAGCCCGACGAGAAGTGGTACGCTGAAGCTCCTAACCATGCCCCTGATATCCAGCCGCTAGCTGGGGAGGCAGAGGCTGTCCGCGGCATTAGGGCAGCCCCGGCTCTTCGTTCTTATTTCGTGCCCTCGAGCTACTAGCTAACTTGCCGCCTGCTCCTGAGAAGCAGCTTGGAAATACAGGACCTGAAGTTTCCGTCTTCGTTTTCCTCCCGCCAGAAGAGTGCCTCCCCGTCCCGGGCTGATCGCCCCGCCTCCCATTTCTGGGCTGATTGCCCCGCCTCCCCTTCCCGGGCCGATCGCCCCAACTCCCCTCGCCGGACTGATAGCCCCGCCTCCCCATCCAGGGCTGACCGCCCCGCCTCCCCTTCCCGGCCTGACCGCCCCGCCTCCCCTTCCCGGCCTGACCGCCCCGCCTCCCCTTCCCGGCCTGACCGCCCCGCCTCCCCCTCCCGGGCTGTCGCTCCGCCAACCCCCTTCCAGAGTCGTCCGCCGTTAGACGCCGCGGTGAAATGCTGCTTTCGCTCCAAAGCCTAGTGCAGATCTGTCTTGTGCAGCATGGTCATCTTCCTTCCACCACCCGGTAGATGCGCTTAGAGAAAGGCTTTTGGAAAGCAAACAAAAAGCGAGGAAACGACCGGTCCCTTCGCCGGAATCCCGCAATCACACGGGGGAGCCGCAGTCCTTGTGTGGCTCCAGGCTATGGAGCTGGGCTCCCTGCAACTGAAGGCAGAAACTCATTCTCTCCTTGCGGACAAAGCTGGCTGTTTGAGATGGGAGGCTGGGCTGAAGCTGTTCGCTTCCCGCAGAGAACTCACTGCCAGAGGTGGTAGGAGTCAGAGGGAAACTCTGGATCCTTCCATTACCCAGGTTACCCCAGTCTTCCACTGGCTGCTTCCTAGTCACATATTTAAGTTCATCAAGTGACTCATTTACTTGCTCTGTGTTCCATACGGTCACATATGGCAGCGTGTCCTGCATATATGAGCACTTAGGCTCATGGCCTATCTAGTAGCATGATTTGTCTTTGAGTGCATTTTTCTTTTCTTTTTTTTTTTAAGATTTTATTCATTTGACAGAGGGAGAGAGAGAGGCAGAGGGAGAAGCAGGCTCCCCACTGAGCAAGGAGCCCGATGTGGGGCTCCATCGCAGGACCCAGGGTCATGACCTGAGCCAAAGGCAGACACTTAACTGACTGAGCCACCCAGGTGCCCCTGAGCGCATTTTTCTAAAGAAGGGGACTCATGACTCTTTAAAATCTTTTTAAAACCTTTTGTTAAAGTAGCATTTATAGGGGCAGCTGGGTGGCTTAGAGGGTTAAGCATCCAGCTTCGGTTGCGGCTCAGGTCATGATCTCAGGGTTGTGGGATCAAGCCCCAAGTTGAGCCCCTCATCAAGCACCTTGTCAGGCTCTGAGCTCAGTGCAGAGTCTGCTGGAGATTATCTCCCTCTCCCTCCGGCTCTGCTCTTCTCCCTGCTTATGCACTCTCTCTCTCTAAAATAAAATCCTTTTTAAAAAGTGTGATTTATAAATAGTAATGCACACAAATCTTTTAAATGTACAGTTCACTTAGTTTTTATTTACAGATATAGAGCCACATCTTCTAAAATGTTATTATAGGGTGTCTACAAATTAATCATGCTGAGTAACATTATCAAGAAGGCCATGGTGGTACTATTTGCAGATAGGCCCGGGTGCTAATCAATCAGTGGCTGACCTTCGTGGAGGGCGCCTAGATCAAGGCCTGGTGCTTTACTTAGATTCTATCCGATTTTGCAAAACTTGCCCAATTTAAGAATCACCTGGCTGTTTACTAAAGAGGTGGGTCCTCAGGACCCTGCCCTGGAGATTCTGGCTCAGTAGGCCAGGTTCCCAGAATCAGGAGTATGTGTTCTCCACAAGCATCAGGCAGATGTTGTCCTCAGGGTGACCGCATTTAACCCTTACAACCCTGTGAGGTGTAGGTTTTATTCTGAGCATATCTTTGTTTTTTTTTTAAAGATGTTATTTATTTATTTGACGCAGGGAGAGAGTGAAAGAGCAGGAGCAGGGGCAGGGGCAGAGGGAGAAGATTGTTCCCCGCTGAGCAGGCAGCCTGACTCAGGGCTCCATCCCAGGACCCCAGGACCATGACTGGAGCTGAAGGCAGAGCTCACCTCTTTTAACCTCTGCTCTCTGCAGCCTCCCGAAAGAGCACATTCTTATTCCCTGGAGTTTTAGTGGCTCTTGGAATTTGCTGAGTAGAGCATACAGATCTTTCCTTCGCTCTCTTGACAACTTAATCATGCAATAGGCAGCCACCCAGATTCCATGACAGAGTGAGGACAGGGCTGTGGGTGCCATCAGAGACCTAGAGTTTCTACCCATGGCTTCGACCAGGAGTTCTCAGAACGGGCACGAGCACCACCTGGGAATTTGTTAGATGTGCAGATCCCCCCCCGCCCCCCGCTTCTAGACCAGTGGAATCAGGCACTGGAGGTGGGGCCCCGCCTCTATCTGAGTTTATAAGCTCAACGGGTGTTTCTGATTGAGGCCACAGTTTGAGAACCTCTGGTTCGGAACTCTGCTCTGCTGCCAGGGTTCACCATCAGAGGGAAACATCACAGCAGGGACTTGGATCTTCCTTCCCTGCAGTTCTTCAGAAGC